GTAGCAAAAGCTGTGAGCCAGAATAACCTTAGCACCAAACTAAGAGCTGGAAGGAGGCCTGTATGGCCAGAATGTGGTCAATGAATGAGAGAACACCCCTCTTTCCCCAGCATCTCATCTTAGCAAGAGGCCAAATCACATAACACCTTCTATGGCAGAGGGATCCATAATTTAATGACCCAACAAGAGAAAAGGCAATCATTATGCCAAGACAATAACCAGGACTATCAAAAGCAGACTGGGACATAAGGCCATTCTATTCACTAGCCTTGGGGAGTAACGTGGACTTTATTCTTAATGCAATGGGAATCATTTAAAGGGTTTTAAGCAGGGGAGTGAAAAGCTCTAATACATATTTTAAGAAAAACTTTTAAAAAAGGAAAAAAAAATCATTTAAGAAACAGATTGGGAAAAGGGTGAGAATGGAAACAGGAGTCCCTGCGAGGAGGCTGGAATGGTTGTCTGTTAAAGAGATGATATTCTGGACTCGGTGGCAGTAAAGTGGAAATAGAATCAGTAGGTTTGCTGATGGGTTGGCTGGAGAAGTAAGTGAGAGGGAGAACTAAAGAACAAATCCTAGTTTTCTGGCTTTGGCAGCCGCAGGGATACCACTACCATTTTGAAAAGGGAAACACTGGTATTGGGTACTGACTTAGAGACACTGTGCCCCACTGGACTTTTTTAAAAATCTAGTTCAGAGGTGCCTGGCTGGCTCAGTCAGTAGAACGTGTGACTCTTGATCTTGGGGTTCCAAGTTCGAGCCCCACGTCGGGTGTAGAGATTACTTAAAAATAAAATCTTGAAAAAAAAAATCCAGTTCCAAGTCCAGGAGCTCATGGCAGATACTGCAGAGCATGTATCACAATAAAACCCTAATTGGAAAGTCTTGCAACTGCTGCTACAGGCCCAGTTTTTCCTCACAAACACCAGGCAGATGAATCAAAGACCTCAACTGAATATACTGGCTCCTAGAATCTTGAGTTGTTTTTAAACTGTATGCCTCCATCCAAGCCTACTTCCTTCCAATGTCAAAATAACTTAAATGATGAATTCTTTAGTCTAGATTTTAAGTTCTTTTTCTATGAGCTATGTCACCTAGTTCAGCAAATTCTAAACAAATGTCAGTGAGCTACAGTGATATATTAAAGTGATACATAAAGTGTTACTGAGCTGCAGTGACAAATTTAAATTTTAAAAAATATTGGACATATTGCACACTGCAGATACTGAACATGTCTGTCATCATAGAAAGATCTATTAATGCCATTCTAGAGTCTCTAATACAGAAAACTATTCATGGGAAATCACATGTAACTGAAACAATAGCTTCTCCCAAGCCACTTGGATTACCTGGTTTATTTCCAAAAAAAAAAAAATCCACTGGATTATATAAAAAGCCTGTTATTTAGATATTTTAAATCAGTCATATTCTAGGATATAACACAGACATGAACTCATTTCTATGAAGTCAGATAGCAGTAGTGCTCAGGATTAAAACTATCCATGTACTACCTTTGTGGCGTCCTTTTGGTAGAAGGGTAAATATGAGCTTTAACAGTGTGGTGGGGGTGGTGAAATGAAACAAGAAACTCTTTTGACTTCACCCACGATATGCTGGTAACAAGCCTCTCCCAGTAATGGCTCTCACCTGGCTAATGCTCTGTTGTTAACATTCCCATTAGAGCCAGGCTCTGCTGAGTTAACATTTGCACATACCAGACAGGATGTTAACATGAGGTTGGCAGATGATCTATTCTCACTCCTACATGAAAGGCTTAAGAGGTTTTGAAAATGTACAAGTCAAGATGGGTTTTAGATGATTCACTCAACACCATCTGGGAAGAGGCCAAGGCCATCCATGAGATCTATCAGACCTGGGATGATACGGGAAATACTTCACTCTGCTATCCATTCTTTTTTTTTTTTAAAGATTTTATTTATTTATTTGAGAGAATAAGAGAGAGAGCATGAGAGGGGGAAGGGTCAGAGGGAGAAGCAGACTCCCTGCCGAGCAGGGAGCCCAATGCGGGACTGATCTTGGGACTCCAGGATCATGACCTGAACCGAAGGCAGCCACTTAACCAACTGAGCCACCCAGGTGCCCCTGCTATCCATTCTTATAGTGTTTATGATTTGTTCCAAAAATACAGGGGTAAGAACAAGATAGTTTTTAATAATCAAATAAATAAACTAATGAAGCTTCTTTGTTTTTTTTAGAGAGAGAGAGAGGGAGCATGCAATGAGTGCATACAGGTGAGTGGGGGGTGGGGTGGGGGGGTGGCGCAGAGGGAGAGAGAGAATCTTAAGCAGGCTCCACACCCAGCACAGGAGCCTGAGGCTCCATCTCACGACCCTGAGATCCTGACCTGAGCTGAAATCAAGAGCTAGCCAGTGACTCCATTAAACTAATGAGCTCTTAATTGCTTCTCTACCTACTGGAATCAGAACTTCCTTCATTAAAATGAAGTATTAGTACAGAGGAAAAAAGGCATTTGGAAGGAACAGAATTATAAAGGCTACTGTTTGATAACAGAATGAATTCTTCTCATTCATTGATGTTCTATAAGGGAAGATGAAGAAGGTAATGAAAGGCAATTTGAGCACCTACTGTATACTATGTACAATACCAGGCTCTTTTCACATACTTTATTCCACAGATTCCTCACAACCAGAGAGATCGGTATTTGTATCCCCATCTTACAAATGAGGAAAGCTAGGCCAAAGGGTTAGACTATTTTCTGAAATTCACATAGCTATTAAGAACCAGAATTGGGGCACCTGGGTGGCTCAGTTGTTTAAGGGTCCGACTCTTGGTTTTCACTCAGGTTATGATCTCAGTGGTCCTGAGGTCGAGCCCTGTGACCGACAGGCTCCCCACTCAGCAGAGTCTGCTCAGGGATTCTCTCTCTCTGCCCCTCCCCCCATTCATACTTGTGTGTACTACTCTCTCCCTCTTTCTCTCTCTCTCAAAAGTAAATAAAGCTTAAAAAGAAAGAAAGAAAGAAAGAGAAAGAAAAGAAAGAAAGAAAGAAAGAGCAAACAATGTACTTAAGCAGGATAGGCACCGATATTTTTGCCAACATTCTCAAAGTGCAGTCCTTAAATTGTTATTGGTCTGCAAAGATATTAGTTAGAAGGGTGAATAAGGGATTGGAAACTTTTATGTCACCTTGACATGGCCATGACATTTCTAATGTATTTTACAAAAGTTCTGGTCCAACAGGGATTGGAAATTTTAAAATCTAGTCCCTCACCACATTATGAGAAACACTACCCTAGCCTATAAGCACTATGAGGTCTGGGACTCTGCTGTTCATCGTGGAATCTTCGACATATGTTCCATTCAAGATTTGCTGAACTCCTGCACTGAAGTTCCAACTCAAGTTTTTCTGGCTCCATAGCATTGTTTGTCTCCATGAGCTTACCAATTGAATGCTTAAAATTTCCTTAGAGAGGTCCTATTTCTATTTAAACATGTTGATCAGAAAATATGTCAAATAAGTACAATTTGTTTGTCCTACAGATATGTTGAGATTTCCAGAAAAAGGAGGTTTAGCTTTTTTCTTTTTCCCTACAATTGTTTAAATAGAGAGCTTCAGTAGAAAATGGAATTTAGAGGCGCCTGGGTGGCTCAGTCGGTTAAGCGTCTGCCTTCGGCTCAGGTCATGATCCCAGGGTGCTGGGATCGAGCCCCGCATCGGGCTCCCTGCTCAGCGGGAAGCCTGCTTCTCCCTCTCCCACTCCCCCTGCTTGTGTTCCCTCTCTCACTGTGTCTCTCTCTGTCAAATAAATAAATAAAATATTTTTAAAAAAAGAAAAGAAAATGGAATTTATTCAGTTCAAAATGGAGTTTATTTTGAAAAGTTATTTATTCATCATGCTATTATGTATTTGAAATGGCGATATACTTCAAACTCAACAAAAAATATCATGCTATAATTTTTAAAAATGAATTACAAAGAGAATTAAGCAATACGGTCAAGAGTTATGTAAGAAACTATTCACAGGACAGTAATTTCTCAAAACAAATTATAATGTTAAGAATTGTTTTAGAAAAGGTTTCCAAAACTAGAGATTTTTCACACAGGAATTACATTTCCAGGTTTCTGCTGTACCACATATAGAGCACAGGGAATCATTTAGTGAATGTGAATCACCCTTAAGTGTACCCCACTTTTCATGTTCACATGTATCTTTTAAAAGAAAAATTGAAAATAATGATACTCTTAGAGACATTAATGGGTGTGAACCTACCACTTCTCAGTAATTAAGTTTAAGATGATGTTAATAATTATACCATCTAAGTAAATTTTCACTTCAACTTCTTTCTTCATTGTTTCCTCTACCTTACCCTTCTTTTGTTAAGTCTTAATAACTTGCCAAAATATAACTGGAATAAAGTAGATTAAAAGTGCTTTAACTTCCAATGCATAATGAAACTTGTAAAAACCTGCAGGTACAAAAAAGTGCATGAGAAAAATGAATATGCTGTCAGACACATCATAATTGTTTCCCAACAGGTTCGTTCAAGTTGACAATTACAAAAATTGAATACAGAACTTTAAAAAGTTAGTTGTAAAAATGTCTATTTTAAGTGTCTATTACTGGGAGCAGATTGAGATAGAATAGTTTTGAACACTGATCGTGACATTCTTTATACATTGCTAGTGCAAAATTCTGATAGACATCTTCTGCAAATGCCCAAGAAGAAATATTATCACTTTAAAAACTCTTTTATTATGAACACAGAAAGTTTGGAAACTTTGGAAATATGGATATAAAGGTTCTATTTTTTGGAAATCATCTGGGTATACTACACAGACAATAGAAACATACATTTCAGAAAATATCTATATTCACATATATATGAATGTAAACATGTAACCATATATTAAAAGGATACATATATATATATAAGTTATGCTGAAAATTTTTTGACATAGGGAAAGATGCAAAAGAGGACAGTCTCAGACTTTAAGAAAATATTTGTAGATACTCACAATATGCAAAAGTTTTAACACATCCACAAACCTGTAAAAGACAACAATAAAAGAAATGTTTTAAATGAGCCAATGGGGAAATAAATGGTCTTCTGAATTATAAACTGAATACCTACACCTTCTCTGAGCTCATAATCTCCTTGGCAATATGATGGACTTTACTCTTCATTCCAGTATCTTCATCCTGTGGACAAGAGTGCATTAAGAAAGCATGAACTCATAAAAGAATAATGAAGATCAGCTTTGAGCTAGTCAGATTTAAATTCAAGCTCTGATACTTATAGGTTTCTGATCAGAACACATTTCATACTATATAACATCTCGAATGGAAACATGGAAAACTAGATGCAGTTACTAAAGCATAATACAGGAAGAGCTGAGAGCAATCGGTGATCTTCACCGTTAACAGCATTGGACTATTACAGCACTGGACTGATCGACTGCCCTGAGGAGCCTGAGCCTTGGTAGAGCACAAGCCAATGGTTCAAAACTGAAAAGTCACATTCTGCAGGAGAAATGACTCCTACAGATATAACATAAACATGAGTTCTTCCCAATATCTAACCTAGGAATTCTTCCACTACCCTGAATTTCTTTTCAGTATCTGCTGGTAATCATGGCATCTCCTCACAAAGATTCACTGCTAAACAAATACCCAGATATATCTCCCCCTCCCTTCAAGATTTAACAAATCCCAAACATTCTGCAATATCTGGTTTAAAACATTTCATAAGGGGCGTCTGGGTGGCTCAGTCATTAAGCGTCTGCCTTCCACTCAGGTCATGATCCCAGGGTCCTGGGATCGAGCCCCACATCGGGCTCCCTGCTCAGTGGAAAGCCTGCTTCTCCCTCTCTCACTTCCCTTGCTTGTGTTCCTTCTCTCGCTGTGTCTCTCTGTCAAATAAATAAATAAAATTTTAAAAAAAATTTCATGAAACAAATTGTTATGTATAATGTTAAAGTCTCCCTCCCCCTCCAAGAGTAAATACTAATCTTACAGTGTGTATTTATCCCTTCCATGTTTTCATATTTTAGTTCAGAAGAACTTAAATATGATATAAAAAAATCCTAACCCTTCCATCAGAATATATTGTTATGCAAAAAATATTCAAGGTAGGCTATGAAACCAACTACTTACAAAAATAATCTTTAAAGTGCAGTTATTAATTTAGAATGCATTAATACTGCATTCTACTTAGCCTAGGATATTTTGCCTTGCTACTTGACCTTAGCTCCCAAACTCTATCTTTAGAGGAACAATTAGATAGATGAATTTGATCTCCATTCCCATCATTATTCTGCTCTTCTAAGACAGGTTGTTAAATGACTGTGACCAACAGACTGGATAAGTTTTGCTCAACTAAGCAAGATGCATAAGATACTCAGCTCCATTCACCAGCTAACATTCCTCAGGAAGCAGTCTTAAGCACAGTGTGATCTTGCAGACCATGTATCAGTCATGTGCTAATAACCATGACTGTGTACACACTCACACACACACACACACACACACACACACACGGATAACTGTTACTTTGAAAAATTTAGCCAAGTCATTGCTTTCCTATTATAATGGGTTTCAGCGCCTGGGTGGCTCAGTCGGTTAAGCGGCTGCCTTCGGCTCAGGTCATGATCCCAGGGTCCTGGGATCCGAGCCCCGCATCGGGCTCCCTGCTCAGCAGAGAGCCTGCTTCTCCCTTTCCCTCTGCCTGCCGCTCTGCCTACTTGTGCTATCTCTCTGTCAAATAAATAAATTTTTAAAAATCTTTAAAAAGGGCACCTGGGTGGCTCAGTTGGTTAGGCGACTGCCTTCGGCTCAGGTCATGATCCTGGAGTCCCCGGATTGAGTCCCACATCGGGCTCCCTGCTCAGCGGGGGGTCTGCTTCTCCCTCTGACCCTCTTCCCTCTCGTGCTCTCTCTCATTCTCTCTCTCTCAAATAAATAAATAAAATCTTTAAAAAAAAAAAATGAAAAACAGGGGGCACCTGCCTGGCTCAGTCAGCAGATCATGAGACTCCTGATCTCTGGGTTGTGGGTTTGAGCCCCACATTGGGTGCAGAGATTATTTAAAAATAAAAACTAAAAAATCTCTAAAAAAAAATATGAAAAAGAAACCTAAACCACTGAAAGAACTAAAACCTTAACTCAGCACTCTTATTTTCAAATGATGTGAGGTCCTATAAAGGTCAAGAGATGCTCTTAGCAGCAGCTTTAAAGAAACCTTGGTACAGGGGTGCCTGGGTGGCTTAGTCCGTTAAGCGTCTGCCTTTGGCTGAGATCATGATCCCAGGGTCCTGGGACTGAGCCCAGTGTCAGGCTCCCTGCTCAGCGGGAAGTCTGCTTCTCCCTCTCCCCCCCTCCACTTGTGCTAATAAATAAAATCTTAAAAAAAAGAAACAAGAAACCTAGGTACACTATAGACTTGAAGCATTTGACTAGCAGAGCCACCTAAAATGTGCACCATCTTTATACAACAATTTCAAGTAGGTGTACTTTATTTTTGGCATCTCCCTTTTTCCTTTTCTCTTTTTAAAGATCTGTTTATTATTTGAGAGAGAGAGCACTCACGCAAGCAAGCTTGGAGGAGGGTGCAGTGCACAGAGAGGGACAGAATCTCAAGCAGACTCTGCGCTGAGTGCGGAGCCCAATACGGACCCTGAGATCATGACCTGAGCCAAAACCAAGAGTTCAATGCTTAACCAACTAAACCACCCAGGCGCCCCTTCTTTCTTCCTTTTATAACTCTGTGCTGTTAAGTCTCTACTCCAAACATATTTTTCCTCTTTAGGACCTTGCTCTGAACTGTGTGATGACTCCTAATAAATGTTAGCCCAGGCAGATATCATGCTTCTGTTCCAGCAAGGGACAAAAGTACTTTAACTCAGAAACACAATTACAGTGGGCCTGACATTCCTTATCCATAAAATAAAAATGTTGGACCAACTTTAAAATCTTAAGATTCAAACATTCAGTGTCTCAGGTGTGGCATGGCAAGTCGGTGAGAAAGAGGGTGGCAGCGATTCAGAGGCAGCTCTGGAGCTCGTGACTAAGAAGTATGTGTTTCCTTTCTAGAAGCTGAGATTGTAAACTTTGCAGGGGGAATGAGGAGTACTGGCATAAAGACAGACATGTAGATCAATGGGAAAAAACTGAGGAAAGCAAGCCCTTAAATTTTGTCAATGGATTCTTGACAAAGTTGTCAAGGCAATTTAATGGAAGAAAGGATTTTGTTTTTCTTTTTTTTTTTTTTTTAAAGATTTTATTTATTTATTTGACAGAGAGAGAGAGAGTGAGAGCAGGAACACAAGCAGGGGGAGTGGGAGAGCGAGAAGCAGGCTTCCTGCCGAGCAGGGAGCCCGATGTGGGACTCGATCCCAGGACCCTGGGATCATGACCTGAGCCGAAGGCAGACGCTTAACGACTGAGCCACCCAGGCGGCCCCAAGGATTTTGTTTTTCAACAAAAGGTTGAAAATTACTGGACCAATTAGATATTCATAAGCAAAAAGATGAGTTTATAAGCTAACTGACACCACATAATTAAAAATGTATCCTGGACTTAAATGTAGGAGCTAAAACTCTAAAACTTCTAGAAGAAAACCTTTGTGACCCCGTATAGGGTAACAGTTTTTAGATATAACACCAAAGGCATGACCCATAAAAGAAAAAAACACACCGATAAACTGAACTTCATAAAATTAAAACTTTTAGGCTCAAAAAGACACCATAAAGAAATAAAAAGATAAGCCATAGGTGGTAAAAAAAAAAAAATACATGCAAACATGGTTCTGTGTCCAGTATATGTAAGATGTGAATAGACATTTCATTAAATATATAATAGCAAATAACTTCATGAAAAGATGCTCAATATAATCAGTCATCAGGGAAATGCACATTAAAACCACAAGGGGATTCCACTTCATACCCACAGAATGGGATTAAAAAAAAATCAGAAAATAGTGGGGTGCCTGGCTGGCTCAGGCAGAAGAGCATGCAACTCTTGATCTTGGGGTCATGGGTTCTAATTACTAAATTACTAGATACTGAAGTACTAGATTACTAGAAAAATAAATAAACTTAAAAAAAAATCAGAAAATAGCAGGTGTTGGTAAGGATGTAGATAAAATGGAATCTTTATCTATTGCTGGGGGAAATGGGAGCCTTTATTCATATATTGTGATTGGAAGTTTTAGCTGTCTTCTAATACCACTGAAGGCAGAAATTGCATTTCTTATCCACCTTGTTATTCTGAAATCATTCCAGGAGGAAGAAGTTACCACCATCCTCACACCATCATTTAAAAATCTATAGTAACTGACTATCCATCATTTGATAGCAAGGTTAGTAAGAGAAAACGGCTCTACCCTCAGCTGATTCATTGCCCTACGGTTAAATGTGAAAACATTACTGGATCATTAGAACCTCCAGGCTGTTCTTAAATTTCAGATTCCCATTGAACTGTCTTGGAAATTCTGATTCTGTAGGTCTGAGATGGGGCAGGAAAGTGGCTGTCATAAGATGAAATTAAGGACAAATTTTTAAAAAGCCCTAGCCTTCAAGAAGAGAATAAGGAGAGCATACCAAATACAAATTTAACTATATATATAACTATGAAATGTGCTGACATCTTGAAGGAGTGAGAGATTATAACAGGGAGCAGTGTGTAATTCACAAAGAATAAAGCATCCGATGCCCTTCTGTCACTTCTTAAGCAAGTCATCAAGTGTCTGCATACTAGATACTATAGATACCCATTCATCAAAGTCAGAAACCTGGACTCCTTTCTTCTCCACCTTCTATGATCACAACTGAGTCATCAAGTCCGGATAATTTATCCTTCTGAATGTTTCCTTAAAGCTTCATTGATCCTTACCTCTTCTTTAATACTGCCTCTTTGGTTCTTGCCTACGCTACTGCAGGAACCTAAGTAGTTTCCTTGGCTCTAGATTTTACCCCACTGCAATCCAGTCTCTACACTGCCACCAAAGTGATAGTTCTAAAATGCAAATACAATCACCTTAGTTCTCAGGTTGAAACACATTAGCAACTCCCTATCACCTATGGGCAACAAAGACCCAAGCTTCCTTTGCCATGTATCTGAGACACTCTATAGTATGTCTAGTTATATTCACTAGTCCCTTCTTGCTCCCCAACATTATTGTCTCTCCTCCAGCCACACTGGAA